ACGCCTCCAGGACGGGGTGGCCGAGTGGTTAAGGCGATGGACTGCTAATCCATTGGGGTTTCCCCGCGTGGGTTCGAATCCCATCCCCGTCGAACCGATTTTAGACGCACAACACCTCACCGACCACACAATACACCACACTGTGCAACATCACTCACACGCACACTGCCCACTACAATCACATTCACCACCGACTGTTCCCTATCGCAAATTGGCCAGATATGATCGCGTCCGTGTCTACACAACCGACCATCGCCCAAACACACACCACCATCACCAACATGTCCTACGACTCCTGTCGACAATCTGATTGTCTGTCAACATCACTATCTATCCGATTGTTCTCGTGTCTGTTCACTCACCTCCTCACTCATCTTCCGACAACCCATCATCACATCCATCCTACCGTCGTCTCCTCCGTTTGTTCAAGCGTTCGTTGGTTTGTTACTCCGTTCCATCGATCATTGATTGATTCACTCATTCACTCATTCGTTGGTTTGTTCCTCCCTCCCTCAGTGTTGACTTCTCCTCATCCTCATCTGGTGGAAATCTTCGTCTTTCTGATATCTAGTCTGTCCGTTCGTCCGTTTGTCCACTCACTGGTCGGACTATCCGACTATCCGATTGTCCATCGATCAATAATCGTTGGGACAGTCGGTCGATCGGCTAGACATACAGCCAACCAGCCAGCTAGTAGTCAGCCGGCAACCGACCCAGCCAGTCATTCAGTACACCGGATGTTCGATCAATCATCCGATCGTGTCAGCCTCCAATAGCATTGCCGATTCACTGCAACTCAATGCTATGTCGTCATCACGGCTGTTCCGCGTCGGTCACATGCCGTCCGCATTGTGCACGTCAGACGATTCCATTTCCATGTAAGCTGATCAACACCACAACGTGAATGGAAATGCACATGTGCGGTGAGTGAGGTATGCAGAGTGAGAGAGTCGGTGATTCAGTGTATGGAATGTTCCGTCAGCAGATTGTCAATAGTATGCATTGCTTAGAGAATTGACTTGTATTTCGATGAGCAGATGAATGCAATGTGGTGTTGGTGTGGACTTGTATCAGAGACAGGATGTGTGTTACCGTGCGATTTAGTGGTGTGCGAATTGTAATGTATCAGTACTTGTGCGTGTTTGTGTTGGTCGTAGCGGTGCAGAAGATAGCGACGCCTCCAGGACGGGGTGGCCGAGTGGTTAAGGCGATGGACTGCTAATCCATTGGGGTTTCCCCGCGTGGGTTCGAATCCCATCCCCGTCGAACCGATTTTAGACGCACAACACCTCACCGACCACACAATACACCACACTGTGCAACATCACTCACACGCACACTGCCCACTACAATCACATTCACCACCGACTGTTCCCTATCGCAAATTGGCCAGATATGATCGCGTCCGTGTCTACACAACCGACCATCGCCCAAACACACACCACCATCACCAACATGTCCTACGACTCCTGTCGACAATCTGATTGTCTGTCAACATCACTATCTATCCGATTGTTCTCGTGTCTGTTCACTCACCTCCTCACTCATCTTCCGACAACCCATCATCACATCCATCCTACCGTCGTCTCCTCCGTTTGTTCAAGCGTTCGTTGGTTTGTTACTCCGTTCCATCGATCATTGATTGATTCACTCATTCACTCATTCGTTGGTTTGTTCCTCCCTCCCTCAGTGTTGACTTCTCCTCATCCTCATCTGGTGGAAATCTTCGTCTTTCTGATATCTAGTCTGTCCGTTCGTCCGTTTGTCCACTCACTGGTCGGACTATCCGACTATCCGATTGTCCATCGATCAATAATCGTTGGGACAGTCGGTCGATCGGCTAGACATACAGCCAACCAGCCAGCTAGTAGTCAGCCGGCAACCGACCCAGCCAGTCATTCAGTACACCGGATGTTCGATCAATCATTCGATCGTGTCAGCCTCCAATAGCATTGCCGATTCACTGCAACTCAATGCTATGTCGTCATCACGGCTGTTCCGCGTCGGTCACATGCCGTCCGCATTGTGCACGTCAGACGATTCCATTTCCATGTAAGCTGATCAACACCACAACGTGAATGGAAATGCACATGTGCGGTGAGTGAGGTATGCAGAGTGAGAGAGTCGGTGATTCAGTGTATGGAATGTTCCGTCAGCAGATTGTCAATAGTATGCATTGCTTAGAGAATTGACTTGTATTTCGATGAGCAGATGAATGCAATGTGGTGTTGGTGTGGACTTGTATCAGAGACAGGATGTGTGTTACCGTGCGATTTAGTGGTGTGCGAATTGTAATGTATCAGTACTTGTGCGTGTTTGTGTTGTTCGCGCCTTTTTTTCCAGGTTTTTTTTCTGCCTTTCTGTTTCTGTTCTTTTGTATCTGGACGAGAGTAGCAGCATTGATCAAATGGCTACGGGATCCATTGTTGGGCTACCGCTTCTCATAAACTAGAATAATTAAGGAGGTTTGTGAGTGAGTTTAGCGACCCCTACCGGTAGAAAACTTACTCGCTGGGAAAACACTAACCAGGACAAATAACTCAGTATTTCTTCATTTTACTAGTATTCCACATTCTTTACCGTTAAATGCCGAAACCACAGTTGCATTTATTCGTATTGCCCAATTACAAGATATTTTAGAAAACTATGAATTCTAAAGTTATCTATAATGAAATATCACTAAGCCTTAGCCGAACCACTGATCTAGGTGAACAATTTTTGTGTTAGGGAAATAGATCACTTGATCTTAAACAGTATATTAAGCCTCATCAAATTAAAGGTAACCAACGTGGAATGATTGATTGCCTACCGTGAATAAACTCCACCTGGAACCCTTTTACGGCCACTGCCGGTCGCGAAGCCGGATATATAAGTAGGGTTAGGCATGGGGGTTAGCGACCCCTTTTTGTAAAAAAACTAACTTGTTAAAAATCGCTAACCAGAACAAATACTATGGATAGGTACATGAAGTAATAGTTCCACCAAGTTCTTCTCTAATTTATTCTAAATAATATTTACTGTTGTTTCAGTAATATTTTTTTTGATCTGCACATCCACCAAAGAAACCGATAGAATAAGTCATCCTATTAGTGATCAACTGCAAACTATAACTTTGACCATTTCCAACCAACTCATCCATACAGATCACTTACATTAGTGAACTATATATGCTATATATATATATAGCTAAATTCTTTTCTTACTACTTTGACTAAAATGTGATTTTTAATTTGCAAACAAAAAAAAAATAAAATTTGAAAGAAATCTAAACTAAACTAACAATTCCAGCTGAATATATTTTTATAAAATAACTGTTCATATTGTTAAACCAATAACTATTTTTATTGATTCATTTCATTTTGGTTATTTGATAAAGAAAAATAATTAGTATCTCGTTTCGAGTTAACTGACCAATCACCACGTTCATTTAATTTTAAATCTATTCACAAACAGGTATAATTCACATTATTATTATTATGTAGCAATCGATCGATAAGTTGAAAATTTGAATTCTCTGCTTATATGTCTATCAGTGTGTGAGGTCATCATCATATGCACCATGATGTACAAGATTATTATCACCATATTAATTTAAATAATTTGTACTTGATCATGAAAACCGATCGATAAGCCAATAATATTGTAGTGAAAGAGAACACAGGTGGGGTAACCGAATTGTATTTAACGAAAATTACACAGTTACTCAGTAAAATTGGAAAACCATATCGTAAATCGTTCATTTGCAAAATATCAGTTCATCATATCGAACTGGACTGTTCGTGTTGCAAACAACATCAATTCATTGTCACTATTCATGCGTTTCATACAAATTCCATTGTTTTCTAACTCTTCCTTTCTTGATCTTCCCCCCATCTTCGGCTGCCAGACATTACGTTGACGCTCACGTCATATACTACTTATAAGTAGCTCGCACCACAGCACCACAATATAAGTTTGTTTCAATTCAAGAAATTGTATATAATAATAGTATGGTGGTAGAATCAATCAGTATAAAATTAATCTCTGATTGTAAATCAATAATTGCTCATCATATTTTCATAATAAAATTTATAAAAATATGAGATTTAGGCAAATGAATTTCACTCAATATTATTGTTTTAACAATCTCGAAATGATGTTCAATGGTAGTTTTAGATTATCTTAGAAATTGGAAATTAATTGATTGTTTGTTGTATTCTTACTTGAACTATGTGCTAAGACCTTGTTGATGTAGTAGTGTTCGATTTCTACTTTTTATAACATGAATTATAATATATACAAATGAATTAATCTTCACCATTTTCATCCCAATTAAATGTTACTCATAACAAAAGCACATATATATTGATCGATTAAGGCTACTAACATGATAAACCAATTGAGTTATGCTGATTAGAACACTTCTCCCCAACACTCCAAGTTTGTCAGAGAATAGTAAGACTAAAAGTAGAAATCTAAGACCCAAAGATAAAGTCATACCTTGCTTAGATAACAAGGATCTGAAGTGATACTGCCTTTCTAGAACAGAAGGAGGGCTAAAGAATATGGCGATCTTGAATATAATACACCCAGTCTTACCATTTTGATTTTTGTCGCTGAAGGTAAAGTGGAGGTAGCAGATAAACAACAATCCCTAAAAATACTGTATGACTGGCTTCAAGCAATCGCCTTTTGAGCATCGCGATAACACCCACAGGCTGTCAGAACCGCTCCTCACCCATAACAGGAAGTATCCTTACATTGCGAGGATAAGTGGGAAATCCTACTCTCTCATACAGCTCAAAACAGCACTCTAAATCACCGTAATGACGATTAAATCCCTTCTTCACCTGTAATTATTTTTTCTATCCCTATTATCAACCATTTTCCTATAACTTTGTAGTTATTTTCATGCTCCTCCAATGACAACGATTCAAGTTCATTAAAAATTATTCCTAGTCTCCATAAAATCGGTCCTTAAATCAAACTTCATCATCAAAACTTTTGTTTTACAACCTTTTATCATCATCATCATTCTGCATCTGATGAGAACCTATCAAGAGAAAAAAACAAACTGTTCAAACCTATGTTTATATTCTCTTCAAAAATAATTCATTTCTGGAAAGCGAACATAGAAAGCACAAGAATTATTGACATATATATATATATAAATATATTTTTTCAATATTCAATAATTCATTATTAAAACAATATTGCAGTAGTAGTAGTAGCGCAGAACATGACACATTTTTAAATTATTTCATTCGAATGACTGAATTGTGTATGTGTGTGTGTGCAGTAAGTAAGTAATGGCAATTATATTGTTGATTTTGTTCATAATTCACACGTCTATCTATATAAATATACATATGTGTATATGTATAAATCACTTCCATAGTAGCTTTTATTCCGGATAGATAACATGCATTAATTTCTGACATTGTATTGTAATATAATCTGTCATAAATTAATGAGAGAAAAGTAAAGTTATTTGTGAAAAAAATTTTCACAAAATGAATAAAATTCATGCACTTCAATCACTGATAACCAGCTCATCTTAAAGTTCTTAATCGTCTTGTTAGAATATTCATCCTAAAGAAATTATTTTGTAAGTCTAATTCTATTGGTCAATATTTAAGGTTGTCCTAAACTATCAAGTTCACATACTGTTAAATGTTCTTTCCTATTGGTTAGTATTCACAGTCGACCTAACTGTATAAATATGCATTGCCTGTCAAGTTTTATACTTCTCTTCTTCTTCTACACAAAACCTCATATTTTCTGGGTGCTTGTAGAATACACTTTCTACGCCACATCATGACTTTCTGATACAGTTAGTGGGGGCTTCGTAGGCTTGGATTAGAGTAGCCTGTAGTGTCAATCGATCATTTGTCTTAGCTCTCGTTTACCAACTAAGGTGAACTCCTAATAGTTCAAGCATATCAAAATGATGAGTCATAACACGTCTTTAAAAAAAAACCTAATCCTTTAAATTTCGATTTACATGTAACTAGCCAAATAATAATCAATAAATTCTGATGACCAATAAAAAATCAATAAGCATTAACCAATCAGACAAAAGAATTTTATTATTTACCATTAAACTGCTAAATAATTCAAGTAACTTAGTGTAAGAAACAGATTAACAACATAGGTGTTGGATGTTAAAGTGACCACTTTTTTCTTTAATTAATAAAGCATTCGGTAAGCGCAGGTCAGAAAATTCTCAACCCATCTAATATTTATTGTGGACATCGTTAATAGAAAATGAACAACTGATGTGAAGATTATTGTCTATGATTTCTGACTGAATTTTATTCAACTAAATGATAACCTCTAATTTTAACGGTATATTTATTTGGTTTATTCACTAATATAATAGTATACCCTATTGTGAGTAAATAATCCATTGTTAAGGGTATATGTGCTTTGTTTCTTATTATATATTCACATCATAATGAAATTAAAAATCGATTTTCTAAATCAAACAGTTTAATCTAAAATATTTTATCATTTTTTTCTATATTTAAAAAATTATTAGTCATAATCAATTGATATGTTCGTCACTAGGTACGCTTGAAGCTATAACGAGTTCACCTTAGTCGATAAACGCAAACGAGACAATTACCAGCGTCCAGATAGGCTACCTTGAATCCCAAGCTGAAGATGGAAGGCTTTGTAAGCGTAGAAAGTATATTTTACAAACACCCAGCAATCACAATACAATCAAGCACACAACTCTCGTTTATTTATACATCATAGAAACGTCCTTGGCACAGTCACGAAAATAGCACACTAAAATACACAGCAGCCAATCACAGCCATGGATTTTCCTGGTGGGAAATGAAATCTCAAGGTCAACTGATCAGCCCATGCTCGCAAACGTGAAATCCAAGATAAGACATTTATCAAGCGACTTTTGGGGATCTAACATCCCCAACATTAATAATAATAACACTAAGTAGGTTTTAGTCTAAAAGTGAAAATCGTATATATTTGTTGAGGAGGCCCGAAACATCACTTTAAAAAGTCTATAGAGGCATAGAAACACCAGGAAACGTTTCATCCGATCAGCACTGATTAGAAGCTTCACAGAAACATTTTTTAAATGCTGAGACCAAGTGCTACGATTCTGATCGGTTATTAAGCTATACCGCTACTATATTGAGTATAGTTCTCGAAACTTCCAGAAGCCCAAAATTCAC